GTTGATTTCTTTGAAGGTTTGGCATGTCTTGATGCACCTTTAAATCAGAAATTAATCCAATCAGATATCTTCACATTCTGATCTATTTTATACTTCTTGGAAAGTCTGTGGAAGGCCAAAAATAGGTGTTGATAACTCAAAGGGATAGAATTTTTGTTGTTGCCAGCTCTTGATAGTTCATCTGCACAAGGAATAACTTTATCATAAATTGTTCCTTGGTGAGGGAGACCACCTAGCATATATAGATCTCGAAGAGAAATTGATAGCTCGCCAATAGAACAATGAAGTGTATTAGTGGCTAGGCACCAACATTCAAGGAATGCTTTGAAAACATCTTCATGACGATCATAGGAAAATAGGGAGGCGAATAAAGCACCATATAGTTGTTGTTTTGATAGAAAGTCATGGAAACGCGCCAAGACATCTTCTAACCACTCCCAATATAGTTCGGTGTATAGCAATTCAACAGGAAGTTTATAGTGAATACTCTATGATATTTCCTTCGCCTAAACATTAAGACCCAATAGTGAAAACTAGTTTTCTTCAACAACTCTCTCATGAAGTGAAGAATTTAGTATCAAGGCTTTAGAGACAGTTGTTATACCCAATCAAGCCCTGCAAAGAAAAAAAAAGGGGGTTAGAAAAAAAAAAAAAAAAAAAAAAAAAATTGTGCTCCTACATGCGTGGAGAGAGAAAAAAAAAAAAATTGTTCTCCTACATGCGTGGAGAGAGAAAAAAAAAAATTTGTTCTCCTACATGTGTAGAGAGAAAAAAAAAAATTTCCTACTTGCGTGGAGAGAAAAAAACAAAAAAAAAAAAAAAAAAAAAAAAAAATTCCTACATGCATGGAGAGAGAAAAAAAAAAAAAAAAAAAAAATTCTCCTACATGCGTGAAAAAAAAAAAAAAAAAAAAAAGAAGAAGAAACACACGTACCAATTATTTGTGATCTGACAAGTCTTCAGAGATTTTTTTTTAGAATTGATATCAAACCCTACAATATTGAGGGTATATATAGGCAACAAGATACCTTCAACTTGTATTGGAATTTGGACAATTCAATTTAAATAGGAAAGTACAATTAAGATGAAAAAAAAAAAAAAAGGAAACTTCAAGTCCCACTTGGAAAAAGAGACAAGTCTTGTCAAAATTGGGACTTGAAATGGGGGCAATTTGTAGACACTAAAATTTAGTGGGCTTTGGTTTTAACGAATGGACCCATTAAATATAGGCCTAATGTTTAAATAAATTATTTAATTTACCAGGCTTGGTCCACTTAAATTATTTAATTAGCCCAGCCCCGATAATTAAATGAAACGATAATTATTCCTAATAAAATATATTTTTAATAATTATCTTTAAGGATAATTATCACAATATAACCGGCCCGGCCCAGTTATAGTTTTATCCTTATCAGGAGATGACACGTGTCATCATCCTATTAATCCAAGAAGCCTATAAATAGAGACCTGGAGGAAGAAAAAGGGAGATGATTCAGAATTCAGAAGTCTACAAATTCATACACAAATTCAGAAGTTCAGAGACTCAGAAATCTAGAGACTCAGAATTCAGATACAAATTCAGAATCGAAACCCAAAAGCGAAGAACATCAAGCACATCCAACAACGTGCCGTTCTTCATCAAATTCCACAGTGATTCAAGAACAAGCTCGTGCAGCCCTTGGATCCAACCAACCAAAAATAAGGAGATCGAATCAGAGGACCATTCTTTTTTTTTTATAAGAGATATTACAAAGGACTGTACTCCATATTCATAAATTAATAAAATTCTATTTTGCTCCATATTTTGTTTCTATTGCAGACTTACAATATTTATGTGTACAATATATATATATATATATATATATATATATATATATATATATATATATATAGAGAGAGAGAGAGAGAGAGAGAGGAAGCTTAGGAGGCGTTGAGTATGACGTCGTGTTGGTGTCGGTAACCGGAATGTTAAACGCAGTCCCGGCGACTCCCTCCGATTCCGTCATTTCTACTCCGGCGATCGTATATTTTGTAGTTTGCAGTTGCGCGCGGGGGGGGGACAAAAAAGTGTAAGATAATAAATTATCCATTCCTTTCGTTTTTTTGCTCCTATCCATCCAAACAAGAATATTATCCATTTCTTTCTTTTCTCTCGTATCAATCCAAACATGAATATTATTATATCTATTCTTTCCTTTTTCTTTTTCTTTTTCTTTTTCTTTTTCTTTTTTTTTTTTTTTTTTTTTTTAATCTTGTGTATCCAAACGAAGACACAAGAATATTATCCATTCCTTTCTTTTATCTCGTATCAATCCAAACATGAATATTATTATATCTATTCTTTCCTCTTTCTTTTTTTTTTCTTTTTCTTTTTCTTTTTCTTTTTTCTTTTTTTTTTTTTTTTTTTTTTTTTTTAATCTTGTGTATCCAAACGAAGCCACAAAGAAGGTTGAAAGGGACTCCAACAAATGATGGGACACTTTTGGAGAAGTTTTGTATTCTACATGGAAAAAGTAGTTCTATGCTATTAAATTCTATTGACTTATGTGCCAACTTTTAATGACTCCGCGTGTATCATTGTTTTCCTTGACCACTTTTTTATGGTGTATATATAGAGAAGAGAGTTTAGGGTTTAAATTATAAAACCTTCCTCTAATTTTTAAAAGAACAAATAATTTTCATAACAAACAAAAATTATTATATTGTTTCCATTTTCTGACGGAATTGCTAATTTCGTGCAAATTAACAAAAATAATTGTTGATTGTATAATATTATTTTAAAAAACTGAATGTATAATTTTGAAATATCAAATATGCCCTATGAACTAAGAAAAATATACACAATACTAAATTTAAAACCACTCGCACAAAACCAAAACTCATATATATTTTTCTCTCCACCCTTGAATACAGCTCTGTGCCGAGGGGTCGAATAATGCTAACCTTCAGCTAGTTAATTCTTCATCCCATGAACATCATCTAATTTTGCAGTTTGATGCAATACATCACCCAAATGCAAAATATTGTGTAATTGAGGAAAGAAAAAAAATAAAGAGAATGTACAAGAAATCTAACAATTATATATAGTGAAATGTTGTGAAAGCTGCATTTGTTATTAACTCAACATCACAGAGCTAGAGTAACAAATTGCTGTTTCTACAATAAGGTAAATTATTCCACAACTAGACTTCTTATTTTAAAGAATGAGGGAGTGATCGAACATCATGCGTAGGAATCAAATTGTAGTCTGTTGTACAATCTATCACGGAGTTTCAGAAATTAATGTTGCTAAAACCATTTCAAAATTGTCCTGCAATTAACTCATGTTTCAGTAATAACAAGCCCCCCACCCTACACACAAACACAACAAAAGAATAAAAAAGAAAAGAGAGGAGAAAGCTCTTTAAGCACCAATAATATCTAATGCAAATTACAATAATGCTTCATGTGTAACTAACAAATAGCTCCATGAGTTACTGCACATTGAATTCACGTCGATTCTTTTATACCCAGACACACAACCTTCATTAAATACAATCTCCCCATCTCGATCTACTGTTTAGTGCAGGAATTGGGTGTTGAATTTTACAATGATTTACCGTGAGTGCTACGTGGGTCCTTTTGGCATATCATTATATTACAATGATTTATAAATAAAAAAAATTAATTTTAAATTACATAATACAAGTTGCCCCTTCCCCACCCATCCAGAAACAAACAAAAAAATCAAAATGAGCGGATACAAAGAACTTGATTTTTCAAAGTGCATCTTTAGTCATTAAGGGATTAAAAAAGACATCATACTCATATATCATTTTAAAAGTTAACACATGACAAATACGTGTAACGATATTTTTAGATATTTTTTTTAGTATACGGGGTTATAGGACTAATTTTGATTAATGTATGAGACGTTTTATAATTTTAATTAGGGAAATTAGTTTTGTCATTTCACATATCAGTTAACAATTCCGGTACTGAATGGGGGTAGAATGATCATTTTTGTTAGTTTTGGAGGTTATTTGTTAGTATGAGGAAGTTATGTGACATTTTGAAATAGTATAGGGGGATTTTATGATTTTAACGAATTTAACCCTTCTTTTAATCCATAATGGATATTGTATTGTTTAATTTCTTTTTAATATTGTCATTGGAAAAAAATAAAAATAAAAATACATTTTTAGAAGAGCGAAAGCCTATTATTGTGGCATATTTGATAGCCAAAACTTGGAGAGTTCAAAACGCTGACGTACATGGACAGATTCAGAAAATTATGTAAGGGAAGGCAACAATAATTTTTTTTTTTTTAATTATTTCACTGAGGACAATAGTAAAATTTTATAAGTATGTAATTAAAAAAGAGAAAATTAGCAAGGGTATAATAAAAAAAGAAAATATCCCCAGTAATGTATATATAAATCGGTCCTAATTGACATAACTTTTTAAAATGTTAATAAGTTGACAAGACAAATTTGAAGATTTAAATTAAAAATATACTAAAAGAGATGCTTTTTGAAGTCTCAAGCCTCTTCAATATTTTTATATTTATATATATATATATATAAACTGGTCAAGGTCTTCTCACGACCGTACAGATAGAAATTAAGGTCTTCTCCAATAGCTGGGGAGCAAAAAAAAAAAAAAAACATAAGAACATCACAGAGATAAATGTCCTTTTATGGGACGACTATGAGTCAATGTGCAAGTAATAATAATAATAAAACTAGCCCTCCAAACATTCAAAAACATATATTAATAATAATAGAGAATTTTCAAAAACTAAATATAAAGAGAAAGGACTTTATATATTATTTTACATTGATTTTGCAACATCTCAAAATTAGAGGAATGCTTGTTTTGCGATAGATGGAGTAACATTTTACCCATTCAATTTGCAAGGGCTCTTTCGTCAAGGAATGGTTAATACGTATACATGGCCCGTTTTGAATTTTTGTTTCTGGTGTTGTAGGGTTGCAGTTAAAGAGTTAGTACTACATCCTACAACACCTACTTTATTGGTCTATATATAATCTCAAATCTCGTTTATAAGAACCACCAGTAGTAGTACAAGAAGCTTGGGGTCATAGAAGGTAGTGTAAGGTGAGAGAGAACCATTATTAGATACTACTTGTTTATATATATATGGAGATGGATCGGTTGTTGTGGATGCTTTGGTTGCTTAGAGTCAGAGAGGATGGCTCTCTTGCAAATCAAAGCCTCCATCAACTATCCAAATGGAATGTCTCCTCTGACATCTTGGGAATCAAATGATAAACACAGCAACTGTTGTGATTGGGAGGGTCATCCAACTTCTACTCAATGCCACATATTAGCGTGACGATGATGGCATAACCCGTTATATGAATTTCTCATTGTTTCTTTCCTTCAGAGAACTCGTATATCTAGATTTGAATGGTATTGGACTAGCCGGTTGGGTTGAGCACGAAGGTAGGGGCTTGCGTTTGTTGATATACATTTTTTTTTAATTATTTTTTGAAATTTTTCTAATTTTGAGTCACTTTGAAATTTTCAATATAATTTGCAGGTTTTGAAAGATTATCTGAGTTAGGGAAGTTAGAGGTGCTTATATTGGATCAAAATTTATTTAATAATAGCATCCTATCATCTCTTGGTGCACTTTCATCACTCAAAACTCTATCCCTAGCCTACAACAAGTTGAATGGATCAATTGACACCCAAGGTGAATAATTCAAAAATGAAATACCTTTTTCAGGTTGACAAAAAAACATATGTTCTTGTTCTCAATATGCTTTAATATTATCATTTTTCATACATACTTTATAACTTTGGAGGAAAGCTACATGTTATTTAACTGCAATTTAAATTAAACAAAAAAAATATAATTACATATTATTCCTTAGCAATTTTATCCTCATATTAGTGTAAGGAAAAAAAAATAATGCAGGATTTGCCTCTAAATTACTATGAATGGTTTGAAGTGTATAAATTCTGATATCAGTTTTTTTGGTGTTATTGTAGCTTTTCTTAACATGAGCAATTTGGTGGAGCTGGACTTGAGTGGCAACCAGATAAATAGTTTTACGGGAAATGAAGGTACAAAATGAGATAAAAGCATTTTGGTTGATCTAATTTTCAGAGACCAGGTTAAGATGCAATTACCAACTGGATTTTAACCATTAATTACAATATTGTTTGCATATTTATCAGGCTTGAAGAGCTTAAGCAAGTTGAAAATCCTACGCTTGCAGCAGAACAGTTTTAAAAATGTTAGTATTCTACAATCATTGGGTGCTCTATCCTCACTAATGGTGTTAGATCTGTGGTACAATGAATTGAGAGGATTGGTTACCTAAAAAGGTAAGATATCATTGAGATGCCTCTGAATTCAATTTGAAATAGCATTTATTCAAATTTTTGTTATTATTATTTTTTAAATGTCAGCTCAAGCACTAAATAGGAGTATAAATTTACCCTTTTGCTAAGATGAACAGATCATGTTTTTAAGCTGTGAAGCGTAGGTTTTTACGTACTCTATTAGAATAGTTTTAAAACCTAAAATCTATTTAATTGGTAATTTAATTTTACGTATTATATAAAAAATAAAAAAAAATACAACTCAGGACCACTAGCCACATATCTTTTCTATCTTGTTCTTTTGATCCTTGGTTTGAAGAGGTAGGTCATGAATCACGATACATTGATTTCCCACGATTAAGCCGGGAATTTTCTTGTCACGATCTTAATATCTTTGTACAAAATAATTTTGTTTTCTAACTGTTTTTAGATTTGGAAGGATTGAGCAACTTGGAGGAATTGTATTTGGATAGTTCATCTATTGATGTGAGCTTTTTTCATAATGCTGGAGTGATGACTTCTCTCAGAGTGTTATCATTGTCATACATTCATTTCAACTACAGACTACCAAACCAAGGTTAATTATATGCTTTATACCATATTTAATTTTAATTAATCATGATACATCAATTTCATAACACTGTTTGGCTGATTAATTTGGATTGTAGAAATAAAAAAATCTAATACTGGGGGTTTGGTTTTTGTCAGGTTGGTGTGAGCTTTTTAAGCTTGAAGTGTTGGATCTAGGTGGTAATGAATTAAGTTTACTTCCTTCATGCACGAGGAACTTGACATCACTCCGCTTATTAGACCTCTCATTCAATAACTTCACTGGAAGTATTGACACCTCTCCACTTACCAGTCTCACATCACTCGAATATTTATTCTTTCCACACAATGATTTTGTGATCCCAATCTCGTTTGCCTCATTTTTTAACCATTCAAAGCTTAAGGTTATCTCAGGTGATGGGAACAGATTAAGTACCCACCCAATGGTGTTTCCCTCGTCAACTCCAAGGTTCCAACTCCAAATTTTCAGTTTGTCAAACTGCAATGTCAATGAAACTCTTTTCCATTTTCTCTACCATCAGCATGACCTCAGAGTAGTTGACCTATCACATAACAATCTGACGGGTGGGACATTTTTTCTCTCTTGGTTGTTAACCAACAATACACATTTAAAATATCTTAATCTAAGAAGTAACTCCTTCTCAGGGCCTTTACCCTCTCTTTCTCATCATCCTTGCAACAACATTACACAGTCGATTGATATCTCTAACAATCAACTTCAAGGTCAACTGCCAACAAATATAGGTTCCATCTTTCCGAATTTAAAGTATTTAAACTTGTCTATCAACCAATTGGAAGCTAACATTCCTGCTTCTTTGGGTGATCTACAACTTTTGGAGACTTTAGACCTGTCTAACAATAATTTGTCAGGACAAATACCGGAACATTTGGCAATTGGTTGCTCCTCTTTAATGTTCCTCAAACTATCCAATAATATTTTGGATGGCCTGATAGGTTCCCAACTTCTGAACCTAACAAGTTTGTTCTATTTATATTTGGACAATAACCGTTTTGAAGGAAAGATTCCAGATACCTTGTCTACCACATCTTCTTTGAGGGCATTGGATATTAGCAATAACAACTTGTCTGGTAATCTTCCAATCTGGATTGGGAGTATACCTTACTTACTTGTACTTGTCATGTCCAATAATCTTTTCCAAGGTCCAATTCCAGTAGAGTTCTGCAAACCTGATTTCCTTTCCTTTTTAGACCTTTCTAATAATAATTTGTCTGGACCTATACCATCTTCCTTCAACTCATCACAAATACAATATGTACATCTGAATCACAACAAGCTAACGGGCCCATTGACACATGCATTTTACAACTGTTCTTCTTTGGTAACGTTAGATCTTAGACACAATAACCTAACTGGTAACATTCCAAGTTGGATTGGCAAACTTTCCTCATTGAGCATTCTTCTCCTCAAATCTAATAGTTTCGAGGGTGAAATTCCTGTACAATTGTGCCACTTGGAAGGGTTAACTATACTGGATCTTTCTCAAAACCATCTTTTCGGTACCATACCTCATTGCTTTAGTGACATACCTTTCAAGGCAATGGATACAAAATCCTTAAGGCCAGATGCATTTTATAATTCGGATTGGAAAGAAGATTTTTGGTCTTACATGGTGGGGACAGGATTATCTGCGAAGAATGTTTTATTTTTAGCTTCTTTTACTGGGGAGACGGAATATTACCCGAGTATAGTTGCGACGCGTCAAGCAGTGGACTTCACCACAAAGAGTAGATTGTATGCATACAGCGGCAATATACTGGACTACATGTCAGGAGTCGATCTCTCTTGCAACCTCCTGACAGGGGAAATCCCACCAGATATCGGAATGCTAAGTGAGATCCGTGCACTAAACCTGTCGCATAACAATCTCATTGGTTCAATTCCAGCAACTTTCTCAATGTTAAAGCAAGTGGAGAGTTTGGATCTTTCCTACAACAACTTGAATGGAACAATCCCCTCTCAACTCACTGAGTTGAACTCTTTGGAAGTCTTCAGTGTGTCACACAACAACTTATCAGGTACGACTCCGGAACGGAAAGATCAGTTTGTGACCTTTGAAGAAAGCAGTTATGAGGGAAATCCTCTTCTTTGTGGACCTCCATTACTTAACAGTTGCACTAAAACTGGATCCTCATCAACATTGCCTCATCACTCTTCAGAAGAGGAAGGTTTCATGGATATGGGGGTTTTCTATGTGACTTTTACCGTCTCTTTCATAATTGCGTTCTTAGGAGTTGTTGCAGTTCTGTGCATAAATCCTTATTGGAGACAAGCATGGTTTCGTATCGTTGAAGCTTATGGGACCTCTTGCTATTATTTTGTTCTTGACTGCTTTCTCAAGCAGTTCAACAGAATAGCCAGAGGTGTTTAGATCTTTTATGTAACTTCATGGCTGTGTGTGTGTGTACATATATATATATATAGGCCTATTTAAGGATTGTCTGTTTTTGTAATGTATAATGATGATTATATATATATGACAAATAATTTGTGCTCTCTCTCTCTCTCTCTCTCTGGGGTGTGTGTTAGTATGAGAGGGAGAGGAGGAGGGGAAAGGAAAGGATGAATCATGTAGCCAAATAACCAGCAGGACCTACGTGAAAACACTGGGGTGTGTGTTAGTATGAGAGGGAGAGGAGGAGGGGAAAGGAAAGGATGAATCATGTAGCCAAATAACCAGCAGGACCTACGTGAAAACAAATACTTGCTTTGCTATATACAAGGGAGTAATTGGTAGTATTCATGTTCAATAATTAGGTTTTTCTATGTATTATGGGAAGCTACTGTTATATCGTAATAGTGAAAAAATTTCTAGCACACAAATGCTACCTCATAAAAGTAGATTAATAGATAGATGGTTTAAAAACATCAACGACTGTTTAATCGTTAGAAATTGAACAAATATAAATCTGACATGATCAGTTCCGTACACAATAATTAAATTAAAAGGAAAGAATTATATATGAAAAAAACTATAATGAGGTGCACCTCATATAGAACTCATGAGCTCTCAATTTTTTCACCTTGTTACAAATAATTTTTTAAAGAAAGACCTGACTTTTTGAAGGAAAACAATATGAGGATTATACATTAAAATTTTCATACCAAAATTCATTATGAGGATTATTTAGCAAAAAAATTCATTATGAGAATTATTTAGTAAAAATTCATTATGAGAATTATTTATTACACACTTTTATAAACTTTTATTCTCTTTCTTCTGCACAAATTGAACTATCCCATCTGACTAGTGACAAAGCGAAATATAATGAATGTTCAGAAAGAAAAATATAAATTCACTTTGAATTCACAAAATATAATTAAAGAGAACTATAAAAATATTATTAATCAATGACAAATTTCGCCTTGTAGTACATGTATTTATAATAAAGAAAACCTAACAACATAGGGAAATATTTCTATATGACAGAAAAATGTGATTTTGGAGCCCTAAACGAATGAATTCAGCTAAATAATAGCATATATCACAAGTATAACCCGTGAGTATCCATTGTTCGGCCACTTTCAATCGGGAATAATTCTTAGCGGATCAAAACGGGCTCATCAAAACTATCTACAAAATGTACCACAGTTTGGAGTTTTTGACAATGAGTTTTACAAAGATTAGCTAGTATAATTTTATTTTATGATATTTAAATGTGATTTCTTTAAAGTTTTTTATGAGAGGACTATTTAAACAGAAGTAAGGTGACGACGGTATTCATAATCCGTTTTTGGTATTCAAAACGTGTTAAGTTGAAGAACTCATGCCATCAATGCCATCAACTACAGCTCATTGATAGCCTTGTTTTTTTCTGTGTCTCTCTCAATAAGTCTAGCCCGTAAGACACTCCTCTGTATTCAATATGGGAATATGGCTAGTACTGTTGGTAGTCAAGTCTCCTCCTAATTAAGCCGTTGGAGTGAGGAAGGGGCAAGATAAAGGTCGACAATGTAACAAGATTCAGTGGTATGCATTTAGATAAGAGTCATTGTAATGGATTATGGATGCAATGGTTGCTTGGAGCAAGAGAGGATTGCAAATCAAAGCTTCCATCAATAACTAACTATACATATGGAACTCCTCTGCCAACCAGCATTTCATAACATGAGCAACTTGGAGGAACTGGACTTGAGTGGCAACCACATAAATAGTTTTACCGGAAAGAAGGAGCATAAATACATGTTGGTAGACCTAGTTTTAGATGTCATCCTACTACTCATTTGCATAGCTGAGATGAAATTACCAACAAGATGCTAAACATTAACAATGTTTTTATATTTGTCAGGTTTGAAGAGTTTAAGCAAGCTAAAAAAAATCTGCAGCTTGAGTTCTAACAGCTTTAAAAATGTCAGCATTCTACAAACATTGGGTGCTCTACCATCACTGAAGGAATTACATCTCCAACAAAATGAATTGCAAGGATTTGTTACAAAAGATATTACTGACATGCCCAACAAAGATCCTATGAACTCAATTTAAATTTCCATTCATTCAATTAAGGAATCCAACTTATATTTGGTTATCTATATTATTTACTTTTTCACCAAAATGAGCCGCAAATGTTTTCATTTATATTTGTTCACTAATCTTTCTAGGGTTGAATGACAACCATTTTGAGGGAAAGACTCCAAACAGCATGTCTGCCATATCTCTTTTGTCGGTATTAGATATTAGCAGCAACATGTCAGGCAATCTTCCCAGATGGGTTGGGAATATGCATGATTTTGGGTTAGTTGTCATGTCCAAAAATCATTTTGAAGGTCCCATTCCAGTAGAGTTCTGCAAACTTGATTTGCTTTCTTTTTTACACCTTTCCAACAATAATTTGTCTGGAACTATTTCATCTTGCTTCTACACATCACATATAGAGCATCTCCATCTGAACCAAAACAAGTTAAACATCCCACTAACACATGCATTTTACAACAGTTCTAAATTGGTAATGCTATACGTCGGAGAGAACAACTTAACCGGTAACATTCCAAGTTGGATCGACAACCTTTCCATGTTGAGCATTCTTCTCCTCAAATCTAATAATTTCGAGGGAAACATTCCTGTTGAATTATGCCAATTGAAAAAGTTAAGCATCTTGGATCTTTCTCAAAATAATCTTTCTGGTCCCACGCCTCCTTGCTTTAGTGACATATCTTTTGAGGCAACCTTGGGAAGATCTTCTATACCTATCGACTACCTAATTGCTGATCCAAGAGACATATCGTTGTCCTACATGGTGGGATCAACGTTAGATGGAGCACGATCAGATTATCATTATCTTTTTGACCTTCAAGATTTCCTAACAAACAGTGTGCCACAAGTAGTGGAGTTCACAACAAAAAAGATTTCTTATGCCTACAAAGGCAATATCCTTGACTACATGTCGGGTGGATCTATCTTGCAACTTCCTGACGGGAAATCCCACCTGATATCGGAATGCTAAGTGAGATCCTTGCACTGAACCTGTCACATAACAATCTCACTGGTTCAATCCCAACAACATTCTTGGGGCTAAAGCAAACAGAGAGTTTGGATCTTTCCTACAACAACTTGAATGGAGCAATTCCCTCTCGAACTTTTTGGAAGTCTTTATTGTATGGTAGGACTCCGGACCAGAAAGCTCAGTTTGCGACATTTGAAGAAAGCAGCTACGAGGGAAATCCTCTTCTTTGTGGACCTCCATTACATAACATTTGTACTGAAACTGATTCACCATCAACATTACCAAATTGTTCAGATGAAGGTTTCATGGACATGGATGTTTTCAATGTGACCTTCACAGTGTCCTTCCTTATAACATTTTTAGGAGTTGTTGCAGTTTTGTACATAAATCCTTATTGGAGACGAGCATGGTTTCACACCATCGAAGTTTATGGGACCTCTTGCAATTATTTTGTTTTTGACTGCTTTCTCAAGTTGTCCAACAAAAGAGGTGTGTAGATACTACATGCATCTTCATAGTTATATATATATATGCCTATTTAAGGATCCTCTCGGTTTGTATTACAATTATACTTATTTGTCAAATAAATTTTTGCTTGTCTGTTTTGTTTGTGTCCGTGCGTGTGTGTGTGTGTGTGAGAGAGAGAGAGAGAGAGAGAAGGGGGGGCGATGATGAATGATTTTACCTCAATCTCATGTCTATTACTATTTAAGCAGCAGAATGATTTCCATCACAACAGTACAGCCATCAAATTGAGCAAGCTGAAGGTAATATTGCAAGGAGAGTTCAGTAGCAACGATAGCAGTCTACTACAGTCCCCGGTTGCATTCTCATACCTTAAAACCAAATATCTCTTGGTTCTTCCCTCAAAAGTACTTACTCATCTTGAGGTTTTATCGCTCATCTTTCAGAAAAATACTCCTTACTACACTCAGACAGTTATTCCTGTTTCATTAAAAAAATCAAACTAATAAGCAGGCCTGTGCAAAGGAGACAAAAAAAAATCCCCAAGAGCATGATATCAGTGGCAGTTGTGACAAGGATACCCTGCCCTATGCTTAGAGGAACTGAGATCCCATCAACTATTTGAGCTCTCTTACTGGAACCATTTTTGCTCATCAGTCCTTTCCTCAGATAACTATGCCTTCCATACAACCACTTCCTAATCCCAATATCGGATAAATCAATTTCTAAAAAGTAAAACTTATGGTCATTGAGGGTGATAGCAACAAATTATTGTGGTAACTGAGTATCAGTGTAACCAAATTTTCAACAAAAGTTAATTTTTTCACAATTGTAGCTTGATAAACCCACAGTCCACTCAAAATTGGCATATTTCTTCCAGGTTCAAAAATATATCATGTGTCTAAGGTACGTGTAAAGGCAAGTTTCTTCTTCAACAGGTCATCTTAATTTTGCAAGGCTTTTAGGATAGTCCAACAACCAACTCACTTAATAGAGCACCTACCCTTGGTTGCTTCTCATTGTTATTCCTTAAGCAACCAAACAATAATCCCAGATTGTTTGACTGCAATGCAATAAGTTATTTGACAAAGGACTAATGAATATGGAACTTTTTTTCTTTGGTTTGTTTGTTTAGGGTGTGCAAGTAAGAATAAGTTAAACTGTGAGCAAGAAAAGATGTCCAACCCATTTAAAGTATGTAAGAGCAAACAAAGTCTAAGCTCAAATAAAAAGCACAAATAACCTATAAAATCTATAATTGAGTATAAACAATTAGGTGACCTAAAACTTGTATCTAATAGCAGTACAACATCTCAATATCATTCATGTGTGGCTGTTCCATTCGTTCCATACAGTCTACAACTTCTTCTGGAACAGCCAGACTCTTCTGATTACACAAGCCCCTTGCCAACAACAAGTAAATCAACAACCAAGAATAGGATAATTTCAAAGCTATTCAAACTGAAAGAACAGTTACAACTTAAATATCGAATTAGCACAAAGTGAATCAACAGATAGTTGACAATCTCCTTTGCTTCCTTACACATACAACGCCAATTCAGATGAATATTCTTCCCGTGATTCCTGTCAGCAATAATCAATATCACCCATAAGGCTGCAGCTTGATTGAGGTAAAGAAAAAACGTAGGGAAGCACTTTGACATGCTAAAAGCATTTCAAGGAAATTCACTCTCCATCCCCAGCACAAATCCTTATAAAATCGTCTCGCAAAAATTTTCACTATTGTAAATCTGTTACCCACATAGAGGCACCATGCAAAATCTTAACGGAAGCATTCACTAACTCGGGCCTACTTAATTTTGAGCTCACACAACTTCACTCTTAGAGAACCTGACATAATTTGGTTCCAACACTTCCTTACCAGAGGCTATACTAAAAAAGACCAAGAACACCTCTCGAGGAAACATCTCCCACACCAAGCATCATGCGAGATTACGCCCTATGACCATTTTCTGCCACAAAGTTGGCATATAGAATTTCCCGATCAACCAAATTGCCAAAACTAACTATGATCAACAATGTCAACATCCACAAAAGGCAATGAAGAAGATAGCAAGTTCAGTTATAGGAAACATCCTATATCGCTTCATGACGACTTGAATAACCACGCTGTTCAGAATTTCTGCTATTTTATACATAAATCCACATTGGCAACACTTATGATTTTATCGCATAGAGGTGCATTAGACATGTAACTGTTAGAACTTTCTGTTTAAAGCCCAAAACTGTTATTCAGTTGAAACATGTATCCATTTTTTAATATGTTTACTGGTGAAGTATATCAGCCTCTTTTCTTCAGAGCCACTCATCAAGTATTTTTGGATCACTTTTGCATTCAACGGTTATTTATTTCACTAGTCACCTAGGGCATGTGCAAAAACTCAGAAAATCCAAAGCATACATTCTGAGAACCTCATGCCTAGCCCCATCGAAATGCATTTCCTCATCAACAAAAATATAGTTCAATAGCATTCGTGTCATTCAAATGTTATAACGAGGAATTATGAACACAAACACATAGATATTAGCGTAGCAGTTAAATGGGAGAGAGGGAGGGATCCATCTGAATAGAAACGCATCTTGAAGTAGATCACATCAAAACACAAAACTCATTCACATTAACCCATTCCTACTATCCCATTCCTACTATATATAACACAAAGTGTTAAAAGAAAAGGACGATCCACTGCATTCATAAATTCAGAATTTACCTCCTCTGACTCACCCTACTCAGATGTGAGGCAAGTGCATTCCTGATCCGCAGCCCATTCTCATCCACCTCTCCTTGGTAAACTGCAAGCTCTTGATCCTTCGAGTACCATGCCTCTTCATCAGGAAATGGCTCACTACACTTGATCAGAAAATTATGAAGTAGACAACACGTTATGATAACAAATGGAAAGGACTCGATACATTCTTCCTTCCAAGGCTTCGATAGAAGCTGACATCGAGCCCGAACTCTCCCAAATGCTGTGCCAACCAATTCCATTCCACGACTATGCACTGAATTAAAAGCTCGTTCTGATGAACTTAAATTACTCCTTTCATCGGATTTAACAAAAGAAGTGAGAAGCCATGGCAAAAGAGGGTAACAAGAGTCACCCAATATGTACTGTGGAATAGAATTGCCATCACTGAGCTCAAAAGATGGCCCATTCAACAACTCCCTCGATTCCTCCACACCCGAAAACAACTTGGATTGCCGTAAAACGGTTTCAGGCTTCATTGTATTAGGCCACCCGGCGGAAACATCCAAGAACCTGCCTTCCGAATCCACCAATGCCTGAACCATCAACGATCCATTTTCACCCAACAACTCACCATCAATCTCAAACAGATCAAATCCTAAAACACCAGAACAATTGGGAAGTGAAATCCAACCGAAACCCACTACAATTCGTTTGATATCGGTCTGAAATTCGAAAAGATGTCCCAGATTCTCATTGATTGCCTTGCAAACCATGTAAAATGCACGACAAGCGCCGGCAGAATCGAGGCCGAACCGCCTGGCGACGGACTTATAGGACGCACCGTGGGATAAGCGGAAAAGGGCAGCGGCGAGAGCGTAATTGGGAGGGATCGGAGATAGAGAGTTGAGAGAAGGAGTTAGGAGTCTGAGGAGGAGAGTGAAGGAAGGTTTGGACATGCGAAAGGCGTCGACCCATCGGGAGTCGTAGTTGGCGGAGGCAGCGGAGAGGAAGCGGTGGAACCAGCAGGAAGGGGGAGTTGAGGAGGAGGAGAAAGAGGAGGAGAGTGGTGATGGAGGAGAGAGGAGAGAGAGGAGTTTGGAGATGGAGAGGGAGGTGGAGGAGATATGGGATTCTAGGGTTAGGGTTTGGGAAGGATGGAGGCGGAGGTCGTTTTGGGAGAGGAAAGAATGGGCGGCGGAGGTGGCGGAAGCGACGAGGGTGATGAGGTGGGTCAGGTTTTCACGGTGACGGTGGCGAAGGGCATTTCCGGAATTTTCGTTTCTGCGTTTGGTGGTGGACTTGGCGCTGCTTTGCTTTCCTCCGCCCGCTGCCATGACTGATTGCTGTGCTCTGTCTCTGAGATGTCAGCAGCCAGCACGAGTTGTTAGTTCAGTAATTTGTTATAGTTACAGGGTTAATTGCATAAACAAACACCAAAAAGTTTACTGCAGTATTATATATGAGTTTGACTCCCTCCTAATTTATGAAGTAATAAATAAAGAGCAATGTTTGGATTATACCCTACCAGGACAAGTTTTGTCCTTTACCCTGATGAAAAACTTGACAACTGTTTAAATATGATATTATATTAAAAAAGGAAAGTATTTGGATCAACCCGTTACAAACGGGTTTTTTGGCTAAAGCTTTGGCTTATCCTCACTAACCAACGCGCCGAGTCCTCTCCATGTACCATCCCTTTCTTCCGCCACAAGTGGTGCCGTCTCTCCACCCTCCACCCTAAAATCCCAAATTTATCACCGCCGTCAAAGTATTTCCTTCATTGGGCATCACCACCGGAAAATCGCTGGCAACCGTGCTCGCCTTTGTTCGGTGCACTGCCAACCTTGCTTCCGCCGGTGTTTTACTTGGTTTGATTCTATTCAGCTTCAACGAAACATTTTAGGAAGCCGGGTTTATATTTTTGGGTTTAAAGCCCTTATTATGATTATGATGAAGAAGAAGAATAATTACAGATCTGCACAGTGAATATCACATGGATTTCGGCTCAATTTACAAATTGGCAAAGAAGTAATGACAAATTCCTCTAGTTCTTCCATTTGTGGAAGGCAAAAAAAAAAAAAAAAAAAAAAAGACCCAGTTGTAGCTTTGTGTTGGGGAATATATATATATATGTATCTGTACTTTCATGGGTTCTGTAATTGTTGCATAAAAATCGAGAATGAATTTTGGTGGGATTTCTGGGTATGTTTGGATTGATGGAATTGTGAGGTTTGGAGTTGGGGTCACTGCAATTATTGTTTACGTATTAGTACTTTAGTTGCAGTTGGAGCTATTGGCACCTGTAATTTAAGGTTTGGTGTTGGATGCCGAACAATGGCGAGCATGGATGACTGCGATTTTCCGGTAGCGATGCGCGATGAAGGAAATACTTTGACGGCTGTGACATGATGTTGTGTTGGGTTTCAATGTTTCTCTTTTTTGGCCTTAGAAGTAAAAAAAAGGTAGCGAAGAAGAGAGAGGAAGAACTGAAGGTGAGAGAAAATGGGTTTGTGTGATGGATTTGTACCCGGGTAACCAATTTGATCTAATATTGAAGAAGAGACCGATGTCAAGTTTTCATAGGGCCACATCAGGATGTAGGACAAAACTTGTCTTGATAGGGCAAATTCAAGCATTGCTCAGAAATAAATAAAACTCTTCTTTTTCTTTTTTAATTTTTTTTAGTAATAACGCAGGTCATAGTTTCACTTAGGGTCAGTTTGGTGCAATGAAAAAGGGAGAAAAGGAAAGAGAAGGTGATGGAGGGGGATTAAAAATTTGTGTTTAGCAAAAATTGTTGGAAGGAAAGGGAAGGGTTTGGAGGGTTAACAAAAGGCTTCAACAGTAAATTTCTTAAGCTCCCAAAAATGGGAGAAAATGAAGGGAAAGGGAAAGAGAGGCTTGGTGTGTGATCTCAGATGCCAAATTTGCCCTTGATTACATGTGCATTTAGTTTGCAAAACAAGAATTACAGACCTTGATTAGTTGATTTAGCAGTTGGAGAGAGAGAGGGGGGCAAGCTTGAGAGTTGAGAGAAAGAGGGCCAGCGGCTGAAGCTTGCGAACGGCGAACCCGAATTGGAACAGCGGGGGATGGAAACTAATATGGGTTTTGATTTTTTGAACAATCTGATATGAGTTTTGATCGATATGGGTTTTGATTTTTTGAACAATCTGAAATGATACCAATATGGGTTTTGAAGTTTTGATTCTTGCAGACAAATATACAAACTGAAATATATGGATTTTGAACTTCTGATTCTTATAGTAGTTTGCAGTTGCAGTGAGAGAGATAGAGAAAGAGAAGTTTGGCATTGAGAACAAGAATAGAGAGATGGAGTTGAGAACAAGAATAGAGGCAGAAATGATTTGCCCTAAAAAAATGGAGGCTGAAATGATTTGCCCTAAAAAAAAAAATTCCTTTATATAGGAGACAAATATATATATATTTATATTTTAAAATATAAAAGGGCATAATAGTAAATTTATTAAAATAATTCTCCTTCCTATCCTTCCATTTCTTTCCTATTCAATAATCAACCAAACACGTTAGGAGATTAAAATTATCCTTCCCTTCCCTTTACCTCATAACTACTGTTATCCTCTCCCTTTGAACCCACCCTACCAAACACAGCCTTAGACATGAATTCATGACCTTTCTGCTAGAAGTAGGGGTTTGGTATAGCCGAGTCACTAACTCGTTCGAAAGACATTATTTTATAAAATTGTATTAAGGAAATAAAAAGTTTCAACTTTTTTTCTGAACATCTAGGGTTGGTTTGTTTGGATGTAAAATATTTTTTAGAAAACATTTTTTTATTTTTTTGATATTTGTTATTCATCAATTTTAGACAAGTTATTTTATATGTCCCGTCCGATAGACTTAACTTCAATTTCAACATAGACATTTGCCAAATACACAAAAAAAACAAAAAATAAAATAAAATAACATAAAATAAAATAAAATTTATCTGAAAAAAAAAATATTTTTCACATCGAAACATACGGAGCCCAAATGTAGATATTTTTTTAAGTTAAGATAAAAAGATTTTTCAAACTACCATAATAAACAAAAATAAATAAATAAAAATTACACTAATTAATATTTGTATTAAAAATTTCTTAGACTTCTATTTAAATATCTCTCCATCACAATTTTTTTGGTGTACTTATTCATTATATTTTTTAAAATTGCTTCACTTGTAATAGTAAATTTATCACCATGGAGTTAAAAGACTGAATATAAGAATATTGTCCTCAATTTATTTTCTGAAAATAATTTTTTTTGCATTCAATTCACAGGTGAAATACCTGAAAATTAACCCTGTCCCAAGTATTTGAAGCCACACACAAATAATTATCAAAAGAGTCCTACCCTGGTGGTGGAATAGAATGGAATGTGGCGAGAAAATAACAAGTGACAATGCACAATGTGTTCAATTGAATTATGCAGCGATTACTTCATAATTAAACTCTATCCCAAGATAAATATACTAGCAACACTATAAAGATAAGGAGAGCTACCAACAGGCCAGTAACCTAGTAGTACTAAGCTCCTCTTTCTTAAAAAGAGGTCAGGAGTTCGAACATTTGTGAAAGCATGTGTGTAAGTACTCAATTAGAAGGAAAAAAAAAAAAAAAAAAGACAAGGGGAGCTGGAACTTCCCCTTCCCCTTCCTACTAACAAATAAATAACATGTTTCTGATAAATTGAACTATCAGATTCGACTAGCTAGTATATTATGGTATTTTGATATGATATGATATATATATATATATATATATATATATATATATATATATATATTTTGTATGATATGATCGTTTAAAGACAATTAACGTAATATCTATATACATGCAAGTCAATAATAAGTGTATTGAATTTGGGAATATCACTAGTACTGCTGGTAGTCAATTCTCCTAATTTATAAGTCGTCCTTAAGTGTTGTGATCAGACTTTCACTGAATCGTTCAAAGATTAAGAAATTATCTAAATTAATGCATGCTGCACTTCTTCTGCCCAAATCACTCTGAATCGTCCACTTACCTTTCAATCACTCTGGAGTGGAGGAGTTCTTGCCACGTACATCTTTACACTTAAATCTAGAAATCTTTAAGCAAACCATTTATAATTCCCATTGCAAGCAAGGCCACCCTCATTTTATGTGATCAATTTGAGGTCAACTATGTTTTATTCATGCATTCAAACCACTTGACTTTAAACAAGGAATCGTTGGACCATTTTGAATTTTTGTTGAAAATTGCAGGTAAAGAGGACTATAAGCATTTTACAGTACCTACTACACCTACATTATTGTTCTATTATATAATCTTAAACCACATTGATAAGAACCATCACAATTTTTTTGGTGTACTTATTCATTATATTTTTAAAAATTGCATCACTTGTAATAGTATAATTTATTACCATGGAGTTAAAAATCTGTGAAAATAAGAATATTAACCTCAATTTATTTTCTGAAAATGATTTTTCTTGCAATCAATTCACAGGTGAAATACCTGAAAATTAACCCTGCCCCAGATAGGAATCAATTGGCACAACAACATTCTCCAACCCAAGGAATATAGAGAGTCTATATATAGGACTTGGATATATATATTTGTACTGCTAATTCTCACCAATAGCTTTTATAAACAATTTAGATGAAGTGCTTTCAGCGACAATGTTATGAAATTATGAAGTAGCTACTAACATTCCATTATTAAAAACCTACATATATTTAAAGCCATACACAAATAATTATCAAAAGAGTCCTACCCCGGTGGTGGAATAGAATGGAATGTGGCGAGAAAATAACAAGTGACAATGCACAATGTGTTCATTAGATATTGGAATATTGAACACATTCAATTGAATTATGCTAATTAAACTCTATCCCAAGATAAATATACTAGCTACACTATAAAGACAAGGAGAGCTAGAACTTCCCCTTCCTACTAACAAATAAATAACATGTTTCTGACAAATTGAACTATCAGATTCGACTAGCTAGTATATTATGGTATTTTGATATGATATGTTTTTTTGTATGATATGATCATTTAAAGACAATTAACATAATATATATATACATGCAAGTCAATAATAAGTGTATTGAATTTGGGAATAACACTAGTACTGCTGGTAGTCAATTCTCCTAATTTATAAGTCGTCCATGAGTGTTGTGATCAGACTTTCACTGAATCGTTCAAAGATTAAGAAATTGTTATCTAAATTAATGCATGCCGCACTTCTTCTTCTGCCCAAATCACTCTGAATCGTCCACTTACCTTTCAATCACTCTGGAGTGGAGGAGTTCTTGCCACGTACATCTTTATACTTAAATCTAGAAATCTTTAAGCAAACCATTTATAATTCCCATTGCAAGCAAGGCCACCCTCATTTTGTGAGATCAATTTGAGGTCAACTATGTT